ACAGATTGTATCTTGAAACTCTGAAGATAAAGACAAGGGGATTGTAAAATCTCAAGAATAATAGAGTGAGGAAGAAACATACCTGCCTCCTGGAGGTTCCAGTTGCCACTAACATCAATGTAATCAACCACCTTCTTGTTGAGATTAAGGAGATTAGGATGAGAAATCTGCTGCACTAGAGGGCCCTTACCCCACGACCAATCAGTCCAGAAGTTAATGTGTTTTCCATCCCCAATTAACTATTTTGAACCAAGGTCCACAATATTTTTAATCTTACCAACTATTTTCCAAGTTGATGAGCAAGCAGTTTTAATATTCCAGTTAAGATTTTCTTGATCAACATATTTGCTCCTAACCATATCAACCCAGAGAGCTTTCTCTCTATTTTTCACTTTCCAGCACAGTTTAGTTAGTAGGGCTAAGTTATTATCCCTGCTCTTTCTCACTCCTAACCCCCCTTCCTTTCTGTTAGAACACACCCACACCCTATTCCAATTCACTAGGTGGACCTTTTTTTTGTCAAGTATGTCTCCCTACAAAATTTTTTTATTGAGTCTATCAATCTGGTCACAAGTGGCTTGTGGTAGCCAGTTAGTTTGTATCACATGGTTTGAGATTGTTGAAGTAACAGCCTTAACGAGGGTGGTTCTACCAGCCAAGAAGAGGGACTTGACTTTCCACCCACTAAGTTTATTTTGGATTTTGTCAATAATAAACTTAAAATGCTCTTTAGAATATCTTTTGTGCAAAATAGTAACACCTACAGATTTCCCTAGGTCATTAGTGAGAGTTACACCACATTTCTTACTAAGGAACAAAGCATGGATTTTACTTATATTGGGGGAGAAAAAGACCTCAAATTTGTTCAAACTAATCTTTTGACCTGACAATGCGCAGAATTCTTCAAGCACTTCTTTAATTATTGAACAGTCTCTCTCAATGGCTCTTAAAAACAAAATAATGTCATCAACAAAAAATAAGTGAGTAATTTGGGGTCCCTTTTTAGAGTCTTTCACACCACACCATTTGCCTTCGTGAACTTTTTCAAGGATAAGTTGACCCAATCATTCCATACATAACACAAATAAGTGAGGATAAAGAGGGTCCCCTTGTCTCAAATCTCTTTTGGATTTGATTGGGTCTAGGGGAGAGCCATTCTATAGGATGGAAAGAGAAGATCCTGTAACGCAGCTCATTATGATATCAACCCAAGATTGGGGAAAATTGAAGTGAAGCAGAGTATTATAAAGGAACTTCAAGTTGACTCTATCGTATGCTTTTTCTAAGTCAATTTTGATAACCATTCCCCCACGCTTCCCTTTTTTTCTCCATAGACAATGTATGATTTCTTGGGTTATAATGACATTATCAATAGTTTGTCTACCAGGAGTGAAGCTACATTGGTTTGGGCTAATTAATTTTTCCATAAAAGGTCTAATTCTACTCACCAACAGTTTAGTCAGAATTTTGTAAGGGACATTACACAGACTAACAGGTCTAAATTGGGTGACCTGTGTACGATTATCAACTTTAGGTATAAGAGTCACATAGGTCTTATTAAGGTCACAAGAGCAAACTTTGTTTTCTATCATATCCTTTATAAGATTATAAATAGAATCACCAACAATATCCCAGTATTTTTTTAAAAATAGGGCTTGGAGTCCATCCGAACTTGGAGCTTTCATAGGTTTTATGCTAAACACAACATTTTTAATTTCATTATTTAAAACAGGAGCCCCAAGGGCTTCTTTAACCTCGTTACTCAATTTTCTCTGGAACCTGAAAGTCCTCTAGGGGTATGGAATAGAGGTTTCACACCTCAAAAGATTATAGAAAAAATCCTGGACAGCCCTAGTTATTTCCTCCATATTCATTACCTAGTTCCCTTCCGAGTTTTTAATTGTCTGAGGTCTACTTTTTTTTCTTCTAGTTATGGTGGAAACATGAAAAAAGTTAGTGTTCCTATCCCCATAAGTAATCCATTTCAACCTGGATTTTTGATACCATAAAACCTCTTCCTGCTCCAGAATTTGGTTATACTCATGTTGGATTTTCTCCTCTAATCTAGTCAAGTTATGGGAATAATGTGAATCCTGGGCTTTTTGACTACCCTCTAACCTTGCTAAGATTCTTCTTTTTCTTCTAAATAGGTTACCAAAATAATTTCTATTCCATTCATTAGCAATAGTCCTAAAATTTGCAGAGGCTTCTAAATGAGAAAAATTATTAGTTCTCCAGGTCCAAGCAACCAAGTCTTTAAATTCAAGGTGTGACATCCACATAGCTTCCAGTCTAAACGGTTTAAACGGAGGAGGGGGTTAGAGAGATACCTTTCAATTGGATCAGCAGCAGACAATAATCTGAGTAGGTTCTAGGAAGATTCCTCACTCTAGCCTCAAGAAAATTGAACAGTCCAATCTGAATTCGCCAGGGCTCTATCCAGTATGATGTTAGTATTTGCAAGGCCTTTCCTCTTATTATTCCAAGTGAGTTTGGGGCCGCTGCATCCAAGATCAATGAGCCCGCAATTGTTGATTCTTTCTTTGAATTTTTTGATCCTATTTGTGTTATTCGCCTGTCTCCCTCTTCTTTTTGAATTGCTAGAAAAATCGTTGAAATCCCCAGCCACCATCCATGAACTTCTATAGTTATCCCCTGTGCAGCAAAGTTCATCCCACAATTGNTAGAACAATCCATTTGCTCTCCTCTTTCAGATGGAAGAGTAATCCCATCAAATTGTCTTGGAGGTGATAGGTCTTCAATAGGGGACTTTCTATTATTTCTTTCTCTTTTACTCACACCTGGGTCTAGGGGTTTTGGGTTGAGAAGGTCTGTGTCTAGTATATTCAAGTGTTCTGTGGAGAAGAAGGGTTGAGGATATTGAGGGAGTGAATGAAGAATAGTTTCAAAGCTACTAAGTAGGAGCATATAGTCATTCATGACCTATCGCCCTACTCTATCTCCATAATCCCTCACCTGGACTTCCAGATCCATTGGATTGGAGTTAGGTTCCAAGGCAAGGATTTTTTCTTGGGGGTTGTGTGTGATGGGTCGGGTCCTATTCAAATTTAAAAGTTGCTCCCAGTTCCTTCTAGAATCGATCTGTAGACCTTTCTTAGGACCTGGGTAATGTCTTTGGGTTGGATTACCTTGTTCAAGGCCCATATATTGGACTTGGGTTGCCTCTTGGTTTTGGTTTTTAAGGGCCTGGAATCTGTTGGAGTGGCCCATCCCTTTTTGGGGTAATTGGTTTCTAAAACCTTGTATTCTTTTCCTTCTAGGTTGGGCTAATAACCAAGGCCCAAACTTAGCCACACCTTTCAACCCATTGGACCTCACCTGGGTTGAGTCCAAGCTGTCTTGTGACCGTTGCAGTAATCTAGAGGTAACGACTCTTTCCATCTACTTGTCTTCTCTAGCTGGAGCTTGATTTTCGAATACCATCGGAGAGTTTTTCCTTGAATATAGGGGCAAAAGGCTTCCATATGGCCTATTCTTCTGCATCTAAAACAAATAACATGGAGACATTCAGATTCAACTCTGAATATTCTCAAACCCAGTTTATATTGAGAGATCAGAGGTTTGCTAAGATCTCTCTCCATACACACTCTAGCAAACTTACCTCTCTTTGAGGTCGCAGTCTTTATATCTACCTTAATCGGCTTACCTAAAGCCTTAGCTATTTGAAATAGGGTTTTTTCATCATAATATTCTAGTGGTAACTCTAGTAACCTTACCCATATACCCGTGGTAATCTCAGAGGCCCTTGATGGGATAAAATCTGGTTCCCATTTCCTGACTATAAGGTAGTGATTCATAATGATCCATGAGCCTCTTGTTGAGACCTTGAAACAATCTTCTTTGGATTGAAATTTGAACAAGAAGAAACCATTGTCCAGGTCAACTGCCTCAAAATCATTTTGCAAAGCCCAAATGTTTCTGAACTTCATGCACAACATCTTGTATCCAATGTTTTTACCAAGAAGTTTAACAAGCAACCCATCTTTCCATCTATTCCAAATATGATCAAGGGTTCTTTGTGAAAGTCTAATATGGGGGTAGGATTCATATGAGGTGTCAATAATAACCTGTTTGGACATCCCAGGTTGACCGTTTTCTCCATCCTCTGCTTGGCCCTTGCTATAAGCGGCTTCATCAAAATAAATGACGTTTTTATCATCCAGCAATGCGGCCATGTAGTTTCTTGGCTTAGGACCAGGAGGGGTCGCTGGTACATCAATCATCACTTGTTCTTCTTCCTCCAATCGATTGGATAATAGTTATGCTCTCATCACATCATCCTATGGAGCTATATGATACTCTTTAATCTTCTTAGTACTCCGTTCAAGATGATCATCTTCCTCCGATGATCGGAGCAATGGGATCCTTGGATCCTCATCCATGAGACTGGCGAGCTTAGGGAAGATGGGAGGACGGTCAGTCATAGAGCTCTGGCCACCCCTTTCTCAGAACGCTTTTAGAGAGAGAAAGTCTAGTTTTTTTAACATTTTTTGGGAGATCTAAACTAAATACTCTATTTTTTTTTTTTTTAACAAAGCTAAGTTCTCTATTGACATCGTTGAATTTTTTTGCCCCACAGGTGTGCCATTGAATGAAGGGTAATATGTAAAATTACCATTGCAATTTTATTTTAGAAGTAATCTATCCCCCAAAAATATTGAGAGGATGTCAATGTAATTTGTCTAATATTTTTTCTTAACGTGCTGAAAAGTAAAAGTGATGAAAAATAAGGTGAAAGAAATAAAAAAGAAAAATATAATTTTGGTATGAATTTGGTTAATTTAGAAGAAAAATTTTAGATAATTTGACAAAAAAATTGAAGTCTAATTAGGTATTTGGCATTTAGGTAATGGAAAATGCTATTTTTAGGTAATTGAAGGCCCATGTTGTTCCTTGTGTAGAACGACCCATCATTCCTTGTCATGTTCATAGCTAAAACTGCAATCCATAACCAAACGGTAGCCATTTATCCTCTGCACCATCCTATGTTCCGCACTTCTTAACCATATCCAAACCCCAAAGAAATACAATAAATAAAGAAAACCCACCCTCTCCCTCCCCTCTATACAGCACTGATGCACACATGGTATATCTCCTCTATCACCATCCATATCTATCTCTCGTGGCCCAGCTGGACCAAAATTTGTGTAGGAGAAAAAGGAAAAACGAAAGAAGGAAAATAGATACACAGAGAGAAGAGGAAAGGAAAGGAAGTTGTCTTCTAATGTCCTTCAACCACAAACACTTCCCTCAAATACCCCTTCTCTCTCTCCCTATTCTTCCTTATGGGCTTATTTCGGTTTCTCACACTCATTCAAAGCTCCCAAGAGAGAGAATATTCAATATCCAGAACCCTCTTTCCTTTTCTTTCTCTATATTTAAACCCGTATATTATCTCCTCTCTCTCACATTATACGCATATATACTAAAGCTTGATCTTTCTTCCTGATCTGGGTATGACTTCTGCTTGAAATTTTCGTTGATTGATATGAGAGATTGAAGAAGATGATGAAAAGGGCTTCCGTGGATTTTCATAAATCTCATGGTGTTGATGAAGAGGCTACGAGTAGACTCAAACATCAAGCCCTATTACAAGAGTTATTGAAATTGCAAAAGGTTGGTTTTTCCTTTTCATCCTCCTTTGTTATCTTTTTCTTTTGGCTATTTTTCCATATAATTGTCGAAAGAGTTTGTAAATTTGCACATTTATTTTTTCTTGGGGATTTTATCTGTATTTTTTTCTCGGGAAGTAATGAAATTAAGATGAAATCACTTCATGGGTCAAGGGTTAGTTTGCGAAGCAATAATATTTATCTCTATTTTTAATGGGCAGTGTCTAAAAGTAACTTGGTTTATACTCAGAATCCTTTGTTAGTTGTAAATGAAACCCAATTTGGGTTATACATTGATGCTACGGTATATTTACCCATGTTGTGCTAACAACCTGAGGATGAGGATGTGTCTTCAAATTTTAGAGCTCTCATTTTGTATTTTGTTTAAATATTTCAAAAGGTTGGCTCTTTACCAAATCTAACGTTCTCAACAGTCTGAGATCAGACTGTGTAATCATTCTTACATTTAGATACGAAAGATTTTAATTTTTTCAGGTATAGCAAAATTAGGTTTATAATGGGTTGCGATATTATGTTGAGAATTCAGTTAGTAAAGGGGACCTATCAATTTTGTTTGTTGTCGATCTTTTACAGGAATTTGTTTCAAAGAAGAGGAAATTGCAGACTGCAAAGCAAAAGAGGGATACCCTTTTGACAGAAGTCCGGTATGATTTATTGTTTTATCAGTTTGAGCTAGTTTGCAAATTCTCTGTCAAAATTTACTAGCAAATTAGAGGACAATCAGTTAAAGGGGATTTCATTCATGGTGAATTTCAGATTCCTGAGGCGACGGCAAAGATATTTGGTGAAATATCAATCTCCGAAACATGACATGGAAAAATATTTTGTTCATCAGCAAAATGCAGACATCCAAATAGGAAAGCTTGAAGGAGAAAGAAATCATAATAGTGCCCAGGAAATTTTGGTCAAGAATTCAAATAAGGTAATCTTATTAAAATGAAAAGATTTATGGAGCCTGGGATTCAATGCGCAGTGCTAATGTTTTTTGTATGTTTTATGTTGATTACTTGTTTTGTTTACAGGGACCTAAAGAGGGGGAAGGAGAAGGGGAAGAGCCAGTTTCCAGGAATGCATGGAGAGTTGGAAGGAAGCCTCAGAGTTACTTGTTTGATGACAAAAGAGTGGGCAAGAAGAAAATCTTATGGCAAGATCCAGTGACATTGAAGGTCTAAATTTCCAAATCAATCTGCTAAAGAAATACTATCTGTTATCTCTCATTACATTGACTTGTTAATTCTTATTTTTTTCCTATTTTGACTTTTCTATTATTTCTTTTGGTACTGTCCACCCGCCTTCCTTTTAAAGCCATGTAAACTGTGAAGGGATATACCATATAAGTTCAGTATACATGAAAATTTGATGTCCATCTCTCAGATCAAAGGTAGGCTTCAATTTATGTTTATCTGTTGCAGTATGAGAATTGATTTTGTGTGTGGGTTTGTTGGATGTATAATCCTACTATATGTGCAACTGAATCAAATAGATGAAGCGTGGAACCCTCTACGGCTGTTGAAATACTAATATACCGAATCACTACTATGCCCCCATCATCTTCTTCTGGTCAAAATGAATATTATCATAACTAAGCACTTCTGGAATGTGATCTGATCTGAAATCATATGGATATGGTGTGTTGTTGAAGTTGATGCTATTCATAAAGTAAAAGATGAGAAAAATATGTCTTTACTTTTGATCGATGTTAGCTTAAGTTACCAATGTCTCATCTGCACTTCTGTCCTGCTCTATCTTGCCTTAAGCAAAAATACAACAGTGATTGTGCCTCATCAACTTGATCATTGATTGATACTGAAATTGTGTAATGCTTTCAAGGCAAACTTGCTATATGGACAACCTCTAGTTGCCAACCATTGTCATGATGTAGTGCCTATAGCCTTGTAAATCTCATCTAAGTGGTGGTTTGACATCCATTAACTCTGTATAAACCTTCTATATGCACGATTCAAATTCTAGTTTGTCAATATAATTTATGTTGATATTTGATCCGTGGAATTGTAGTCAAAGTTTGTTTGATAAAACTTGTCCATAAATTCTGTGTGTTATGATTTGCCATGAAAATGAACTGCTGCTACATTTAGGATTCAGTCCACCAGCAGTATCAGATGAGAGAGTCAGGCCTTGCGTCGATCCACTCAACTTTGAACCTATAGTCTAGGCACAATAATAATATATCAAATTAAATTCTGCCCACTCTCCATTCACATGGTTCTCAAAGCAGGGGAGGAAGGGTGGGCAGAAGGTACCACGAATCCTCTTCCTTAAATTCATCTTGGTTTTCAGCATCTTCAGGCTTATTGACTGCGTCTTCTTTTTTTCCCTTTCTATAACTGTGCTTCTTTGTCAGCACATTGACCAAACCACAGTGTGCTACTGAAACAACTTATGCTTTTGACTGGTCAACACGTAACTCTGCCAATCATTTGCATATGTTGGCATAGTTCAATAATTTATATTTTCTTCAAAATTTTCAATTTCAGTTTTACTTTTTTATTCAAGGGTTCGAAATAAAAAAATTATGCAGTCTAATTGTTACCGAGTAATGTGGGTAGAATTCATATTTGTTAGGTTTCAGGTTTGAATTGGACTTTGTGAATTCAAATTTGCCAAATCCAAATTGATTCTTGTCCACCTTAAAACGCCAATTCAAGACCTCGATTCTTCCCCTCCTCCAATATAAACCTTGAGGAAATTCTTATTGAGCAAAATGTTTTACTCCACTGTGATTTGCCCCGTTGTTCATCACTCTCCTATGGTTCAAATATGACACCATAATGTTCATTGTTTTGGGCATACTTGACTTGATGGAATTTGAGGCCTACTAAGACAAATTTGAGGTCTTTTTGTATTTAGGTACTAATTCAAATAGCATGAAACTTTTACCGGTGTGTGTAGTGTTGTAAAGTTCCATCTTAGTATAAATATAGTATTGAGACGGATCCGGATGTTGTTATGCTTCAAGAGACTCAAAGGGAGGTGGTTTGTAAACGAAATGTATCTAATATTTGTCGAGTCAGATTTAAGAATTGAGCAGTTTCTACCTTCATGTGGTTAATCAAGGGTTTTGGTCATTATCTGGGACATAAGAGTTATGTCTGCTTTAGAGGTTATTGTCGGGATTTTTGCCCTTTTTGTTCCTTGTGGTGGTTGTTGAGTTTATGGTCAGGACAGTACTAGGTTAAGGAAAGACTTTTGGAAGATTTGGCGATGCTTTATGGTTTATGTGGTCTAGGCGAGGATCGAAATATCGTGTTGAAACGCTCTAAATATACAGAATGTTTCGGGTTTACAACACACCGACAAACATGGAAAGAAACTAGAAATTCCCACGTTTCTTTTGAAATGCCATTGTTTCGTATTGTTTTGTTCAAACCAATACCATATCGATCAAAACATATACATGATTCGACAGGTACTACAGAAAAAGGGGAAAGATTCTACCTCTTTTGTCCCCTTCTTCGGGCTGAACAAAGAAACTAACAAACAGAGAGAGAGAGAGAGAGAGAGAGAGCACTACAAAAATCGAAAAAAGGATATGGGTTTCAACTCGCTAGAGGTTTCCAAATCCAAACCTTAGCAAGTCCAAGCCAAATTCCATTCAAGTGTCCAGATCCGGCCTCTAGGTATAGATTTATTTATGGGTTCTGTGAGCTGTGGCTTTGAGTGCATCTGTCTCTCTAACGGATCTAGAGATTTGGGGACGGGGAAAGCAATGTCGTGAGGCATGTAGCTTGTCCTAGTCCTTCGTTTCCTCTCTCTCTTGGTGAGAGTAGAGTCGTCCGTCTATTTTAATCTATCTCCCCTCCCTCCCCCCCCTTTTTTTTTCTTTTTACTAATGCTATCACAGTTTGTTTTAATCCCCATCCCTTTTTTTTTCTTTTATATTGTTGTTATTTGCTAAATTGTTATAATATACTTTGTTTGTTAAATATCTACAATTAATTCAATGGTATATTAAATATCTGAAATTTAGTTGAACTGAATTCCTTATTATATCAGTTCTTTATTTCATCTTCAACTTGATGTTATATTGTATAAATGGATGTTAAGCCAATAAACATGTTTAATTAATCAATTATTAAGCTTATCTATATAAATAAGAGAATTTTAATAATGTTTTCCAATATTATCACGTGTTTCTATATTTTTTCTCTGTGTCTACCGCGATTCCAAAAATTTNAATTCTTTATTTCATCTTCAACTTGATGTTATATTATATAAATGGATGTTAAGCCAATAAACATATTTAATTAATCAATTATTAAGCTTATCTATATAAATAAGAGAATTTTAATAATGTTTTCCTATATTATCACGTGTTTCTATATTTTTTCTCTGTGTCTACCGCGATTCCAAAAATTTTTCGAAATGGTACGTCGAAACGATATTGGAGTGGAGCTGGAGAATATCCCTCCCCTGTTAGGCGACTACGTTTTCTTGTTTAAAATTCCAGGTCAGGTTTTCATTGGTATTTGTTTTTTTCTCACCCTCAACGTTTTTTTTCTTTTGAGTTCTTCCTGCATCACTCTAATTCTATATTTTTCATTTAGATATTAATATAGATTCTCATTCATTCCTTGATTCCCATAACTATGGATTGATTGTCCCCACCTAACTACATGGTAGTGGTCTAGGGAGCGCAATTGCTAGAGCACGGGAGAATGAAGAGTAATGATTTCAGGCATTATAACAACTATTGATTGAAAAGGTAGCTGTAGCTACAAAGCCAAAGAGGAAGTTTTTTTTTATTTGAAGGTTTCCGCTATACTNTTGATTCCCATAACTATGGATTGATTGTCCCCACCTAACTACATGGTAGTGGTCTAGGGAGCGCAATTGCTAGAGCATGGGAGAATGAAGAGTAATGATTTCAGGCATTATAACAACTATTGATTGAAAAGGTAGCTGTAGCTACAAAGCCAAAGAGGAAGTTTTTTTTTATTTGAAGGTTTCCGCTATACTATTAAAGATGATGGCAATTTTTATTACTAAAATAAGGAAGTTTCATCAATACCAAAAAAGTTGACTTCACTATAAAGCTAGGAAGCACGGATACTCCTCAGGGGGTCGACGTGGTGGTGTTGGACACGTGTCCAATACTTTCACAAGTGTCTTGAACAGTGAAGAAGGACGGATACGACTCAGATACGGGATGATACAGAGGGATACGACCACAACAAAGAACTTGAAACTAGAAAAAAAAAATGGGGGTGGGGGGGAGAAAGAAGACGATATACCTGATAAGCCACAGCCACAACCATAGATCTCCTCCTCTTCGAGTAGGTATGTCGTCTTCATCTTTAGGTATCTCTTCAACCTCTCGCGCTCTTTCTCGCCCACCGCCTAAGCTTTGCGACTTCGTCTGCCTAACCCTAATTGCTGAAAAGCAAAAGGGTTGTCTTTTTTTTTTTCTTGTCTTAATTTACATTTTAACCCCTATTATTTTCTTTTCTTTTTTTCTTTGTCCTAGTTGCTAAAATAATTTCAAATAACCCTTAGACTTCTTATATTTTATGTTAAATTACAATCATACTTTATTAGTTGTCATGTTATCCACTACCCAATTTGGTTTAGCCCACTGTCCATAACATATTAGCCTACTAATCAAATTGAATATTAGCTCATTTATCCAATTATAAAATATTAATTAATTACTCAATTTTATTATTAATGTTATTATATATATAAAAAAATATTATATTATTTTAATTAGCCGTCTCCTCGCCGTACTCGTTACCTATATTTCGGAATTTTGTTGTATCCCTGTGTCCGTATCTTATCAGATACGGCACCTGTGTCCGTATCCGTGCTTTCTAGCTATAAAGGCTAGATCCTCATCCTTGGGTCTAGGTGGTGTTAAGGGGGAGATTTCAATATGGTGAGATGTGTCTGAAAAGTTATCAGCAAAAAAGAGAAGGAAAAATGTCGTGATTTTAATGCCTCGATTAGAGAAAATAGTTTGAGAGATTCAACTTTAGGTGATGCTCTCAACTCAAGAGAGACTATTGTTTGCAGTAGATTGGATGGGTCTTTGTCTTATCAAGATTGGAGGAGTGTTTTACTAAAGTAAGACTAGAAACACTTATCACTTGTTAGAGTTGCATTGGATCACTTTCCTATTATCCACCATTTGTGTACACTTTTAAACTTTTTATGAAATGGAAGGTTTGTCTTTTATAAAAAAATTAGGGGTAATCCGTGCCTGAAGACACGGTCTAACGTAAATTAATGTGAATTGTTTTGAGAGGAATATTGATGGTACTTGGATGAGTTTATTTGAGGCCGTTAGATAGACTTATTGAAGTCTGCCCCGGTTTCTTCATACGTCTTAACTTTCCTAAAATTATTTATTTGTGTTC